CAATAATGATGATAATATTGATAATGATGATGATGATGATGATAAATAACAAATGACAAAGAACAAGAGCGGTCGGTTAACGTTTAGCAATGGTGGTTTTGTACGGTTACAAGATGTTTGGAAACAGGACTTTGAAGGTCGATTGTTCTCGTTGCTATCGATTATCGTGAGTTTCTTGCGAGATGCGAGGCCAGCGTGCATCGTCTCTGAGGAGGAGTCCCTTGCGAGATCGGTGCGCACGAGGCGGACCCGAGGTGCTGAAGGGTTGTCGCTTTTGAATCGCTTGTCTCCTGCTTGCCTGCCTCTCTGCTTGTCTGTTTGTCTTCCTGCCTGCCAAGCTGTTTGTCTTGCCTTGCTTGTTTGCTTGTCTGTGTGTCTGTCTGCTTGAATATCTTCCTTTCGCGTCTACTTATCTACCTGTCTCTCTGCTTGCCTATCTCCCTTACCACCTGCTTGCCTATCGCCGTTGTCGCCTACTTATCTACCTGCCCGTCTGCCTACTTACCTGCTTGCCTACATGCCTGCTTATCTACCTGCCCGTCTGCCTGCTTGCCTGATTGCATACCACTCTTGTCCTCGTACCTGTGTGCCTGTCTGACCCGACCAATTGCCTGTCTGTCTGCTTGTCTGTCTGTCCCTCCGTGGGATCTTTTGTTCTTGCATTTTTCGACGAGGGAATCGACAGCTGCTGGTCTTGGGGGGAGGGGGGGGGGGGGTCTTGGTGACTGGTTTCAAAAGGACCTCATTTTGGGATTTTTTCTTCGTCTCGTTCTCCTGTCTGCATGTATTTCCCCTCCTGTTTCTCTTTATCCGTCTGTATGTATGTTAATTTTTGTATATTTTTCTTATCGTTTTCTCCCTTATTTTCTATGTCCGCTTAAAGTTTGGATATTCTCATTTTCTACTGCGCTTTACTTCCTCTGTACCTTTCCTTTCTCTCTTCCTCCTTTCCTTCCTTCTTTCTTTTCTTCCTTTCTTCCTTCCTTCCTTCCTCCATTCCATCTTTCCTTTCATCTTTCCTTCCGGCATCCCTCCCATCCAACATCCCTTCTTCCTCCCTCCCTCTTTCGCCATCTCTCCCTGCTCCTTCCCCTCCTTCTCTCTCCCTTCCCTCCTTCCGTTCCTCCGTTCCATTCGATCCTTCCCTCCCTTCCTTCCTCCCTCCCATCCGACCTCGCTGATGTTAAATCGCCATTTCCTAGGTGGAGCGGCGCCTCGCAAGGCAGGAGAGCAGGTGTAGGACGCGAGGGGAATGCCAAAGAAATACGAGCCGTTATTTGTCCCGAATAACAATGATTTTTTGGGGGGGTGGGTGGGTGGGGGGGGGAGAGGGAGGGAGGGAGGGAGGGAGGGAGGGAGGGAGGGAGGGGGGAGGGAGGGAGGGGAGGGAGGGAGGGAGGGGAGGGAGGGAGGGAGGAGGGGGGGGATGGAGGATGGCCTGAATGCGAAATGCGTGCTCGTAGTCGCCTCGGCCGGTTCGCGTTTGTGTTTTGTCTGTTTGCATATTCGTGCGTTTTAGAAGGTTTTGTCTCGCGGTACTTTCGCTTCTGTAAAAGGGCTGTTGGGGTTGGTTTGTGGGGCATGGGGTTTTCGTTTTACTTTTTCTTTTCGTACGTTCTTTCTTTTTCTTTTTCTTTCTTCTCTCTCGATTTATTTTTCTTTCTTTCTTCCCTCTCTTTCTTTCTTTTTTTCTTTTCCTCTCTTCTTCTCTGGATGGTTGAAGTTTAGGGTTTTGAAGGATTTTAACTATTATTTATTATTTATTGTTGTTGTTGTTGTTGTAGTATTAGTAGTATAATCATCATCATCATCTTTGTTATTATTATCGTTTTTGTTGTTGTTGTTATTGATATTATTGATATAACTAGAAGCACTCTGAGAGCGCATACCTCCGCCATGGCAATAGGGTCACTGATGCAATAAAAATATTCACACTTGAATAATTACTTTAAAATCATGATCCGGATCACCACCAAAAATTAATGGCATCTAAGTAGGCTAAGTCATTTCATAAAAATTTGTTCATAAGTTTATCCTGCTAACCAATTAACCAACTAACTAACTGACCAACGCTACCAGAATCGTAACCTGCTTGGCGGAGTTATTAGTAATGATAATTATGATAATGATAATTACTATTATTATTATCATTATGATTATCATTATTATCGTTGTTACTATACTAATTGTTTTTGTTCTTTTTCTTCTGATTTTTATTATTGTTATTATTATTATTATTAATTTTCTCCCAGTCACTTAACTTCTTTCCTCTCTCTCCCACAGGTAAGGCTATTTTCGCACGTTCTGTTGGTGTGAAGGCTAAAACACGTGAGTTTATGGTGTCTTTTTATTCAATCTGTATTTCTTTCTTCCTTTTTTGTTTGTTTGTTTGTCTTTATTGCTAGAGCATGTTATTGCTCTACCTGAGGTATACGTATTCCTATGCTTATCATATGTATGTTTTGGTGTCTGTTTTGATATCTGTGTTAAGCTATATTTATAGAAGTATGCGGATATATAGGCTCTGTGTGTGTGTGTGTATGTGTCTGTGTGTGTGTGTGTGTGTGTGTGTGTGTGTGTGTGTGTGTGTGTGTGTGTGTGTGTGTGTGTGTGTGTGTGTGTGTGTGTGAGGGCGCGTGCTCCAAAAGTCTTCCCTCTTCCTTCCTTCCTTCCTTCTCGCATTACCCTCATGCCGGCTCGGCGTTCGTTGGGATTCTCCGGCAAATGAACGTGGAAGATGCGGCGGCGAGGGCGGTTGGGGTTACACACGCAGCGTTCGGGGCTTTATCTTGCCACCGTGGGAAAGAGCAGGTGCTGGCTCTGCGTTGTTTGCAGGAGATTAATTGTTCGATTCGCAAGACCTGTAAAACGGGGTAAAGACCGGAGAATTCCGAGGAGCGAAGGAAGGGGAAGGGGAGGTGGATGGAAGGGGAAGGGGAGGTGGAAGGGGGGAAAGGGGGAAAAGGGGGGAAGGGGAAGGTGGAAGGGAAGGGAGGTGGAAGGGGAAGGGGAAGGGGAGGTGGAAGGGGAAGGGGAGGTGGAAGGGGAAGGGGAAGGGGAGGTGGAAGGGAAGGGGAAGGGGAAGGGAAGGGGAGTGGAAGGGGAAGGGGAGGAAGGGGAAGGGAAGGGGAGGTGGAAGGGGAAGGGGAAAGGGGAAGGGGAAGGGGAGGGGAGGAAGGGGAAGGGAGGTGGAAGGGGAAGGGAGGGGGTGGGAAGGGGAAGGGGAAGGGGAAGGGGAAGGGGAAGGAAAAGGAAAAGGGAGGTGGAGGAAAGGAAAAGGGGAGGGGAAGGAAAAGGAAAAGGGGAGGTGGAAGGAAAGGAAAAGGGGAGGTGGAAGGAAAGGAAAAGGGGAGGTGGAAGGAAAGGAAAAGGGGAGGGTGGAAGGAAAAGGAAAAAGGGAGGTGGAAGGAAAAGGAAGGGGAGGTGGAAGGAAAAGGAAAAGGGGACAAGGAAAAGGGGAGGTGGAAAAGGGGAGGAAAAGGAAAAGGGGAGGTGGAAGGGAAAAGGGGAGGTGGAAGGAAAAGGAAAAGGGAGGTGGAGGTGGAAGGAAAAGGAAAAGGGGAGGTGGAAGGAAAAGGAAAAGGGGAGGTGGAAGGAAAGGAAAGGGGAAAGGAAAAGGAAAAGGGGAGGTGGAAGGAAAAAGGAAAAGGGGAGTGGAAGGAAAAGGAAAAGGGAGGTGGAAAGGAAAGGAAAGGGGAGGTGGAAGGAAAAGGAAAAGGGGAGGTGGAAGGAAAAGGAAAAGGGGAGGGGAGGTGGAAGGAAAAGGAAAAGGGGAGGTGGAAAAGGAAAAAAGGAGGAAAAGGGGGAGGAGGAGGAGGAACAGAAGGGGGAGGAGGAGGAGGAGGGGAGCTGAGCTGGAGTTGAAAATAGAGATGGAGATGGGAACACTAATTGCGTCCGATAGATATCGAAAAAGAAGAGGAAGAAAAAGGGTGGGTATGGAGATGGAGGTAGAAGAAGAGGGAGAGGAAGAGCAGGGGCAGGAGGAAGAGGAGCCTCTCACCCGATGAAGCCGAGACAATTCACGAAGGATCTTATGCCCTTTTGTCTTGCTTGTCTTTGTGTCTAAAGGAAGAGCTTCTTGAGGTAGGTGAGAGAAGTGCCTGGGAGGAGAGGCAGGGGGGGGGGGATGAGAGAAGAGAGAATGAAGGGCCAGGTAGGAGGGTTGAAGGAGAGGAAGAGAAAGAAAGGGTTAAACAGAAGTAGTCGTGTGTGTGTGTGTGTGCGCATTTTTTTCTTTATTTTTATTTTTTTCATCAGTTGGTTTATTGAAATGCAAGTAGTTCCGTGAATGGAATTTGGGAGGGGGAGGGGTAGGACAGAGGGAGAGGAGAGAGGGGAAGGGGAAGGAGAAGGGGGAGAGGAAAATGAAACAAAGAGGGGAGATGGGGAATAGAAGGACAGGGGAAGGGGAAGGGAGAAGGGGAGGCGGAGCAGAGGGTGAGGTGGGGAATGGAAGGACGGAGGAAGGGGGAAGGAGGGAGGCGGATGAGGGAGTGCAGACAGGATGAGGGTAATGCAGGAAGACAGCTTTTCCCTCGAATCAAAGGGGGATGGGGAAAGGAGGAGGGGAAAAGGGGGGAGACATAGGGGAGGGGGTATACGGGGAAATGGGAAGATAGTTCTCTGAATGGCGTTTGAGAAGGGGGGAGAGGGAGAGAGGGGAAAGGGGGAGACGTAGGGGAGGGGGTTTACGGGGAAATGGGAAGATAGTTCTCTGAATGGCGTTTGAGAAGGGGGAGGAGGGAGAGAGGGGAAAGGGGGAGACATGGGGAAGTATACAGGGAAAAGGAAACGTAGTTCTCTGAATGGAGTTTGGAAGGGGGGAGAGGGAGAGGGAAAGGGAGAGGAAGGAGACAGGTTGGAGGGGGGGGGTATCCAGGGAGATGGGGCGAGGGTAAGGGGGGGGTACAGGTAATATTGTCGAGTGTGTGTGTGTTATTGATCTGTTAATCCCACAGCACGGCCCCTGGTAATGGGTTGAGATTTGGGGTTATATGTCAGTCAGCGCCGCGCGAACGTTGAGGCACAGGTACCGGGTGTAAAGTTGTAAAGTAGGTGTAGAATGGACTGGGATTGTGATAGATGTCGAGTAGGTGCAGATAGGGACTGGGATTGTAAGTAGGTGTAGATAGGGACTGGGATTGTAAGTAGATGTCGAATAGGTGTTGATAGGGACTGGGATTGTAAGTAGATGTCGAGTAGGTGTAGATAGGGACTGGGATTGTAAGTAGATGTCGAGTAGGTGTAGATAGGGACTGAGATTGTAAGTAGATGTCGAGTAGGTGTAGATAGGGACTGGGATTGTAAGTAGATGTCGAGTAGGTGTATATTGGGACTGGGATTGTAAGTAGATGTCGAGTAAGTGTAGATTGGGAGATTGTAAGTGTCGAGTAGGTGTAGATTGGGACTGGGATTGTAAGTAGATTGTGTCGAGTAGGTGTAGGACTGGGATTGTAAGTAGATGTTGAGTAGGTGTATATTGGGACTGGGATTGTAAGGAGATGTCGAGTGAGACTGAGATTGTAAGTAGATGTAAAGTAAGTGTAGGAAAAATTGTGATTGTAAGTAGATGTAAAGTAGGTGAAAGGAAAGACTGGGATTGTAAGTGACAGAGACTCTGTGTCGGAAGGACTAGACTATGATTGTAAGTAGTGCCGCAGTAAAGTGTCGAAAGGTGTGAGGTCTAAATATGAGGAAACGGTTGTAGGAAGGGGCAGGGATTGCAAATAATTGCGAAGTGAAATTGCGAATGAACCTGAATTGTAAATAACTGTAAAATAGAAGGGACTTGGATTTCGCTTTTACTGTGCTTAACGAACAGTTGATCCGGGAGGCGAGATGGGGTGATAGTTTTTTTTTTTTTTTTGTGTGTGTGTGTGTGTCAGTGTTGGTGTCTGTCTGTGTCTGTATGTGTATGTGTTTATCTCTGTCTGTCAATTTGTGAGAGAGAGGGGGAGAGGAAGAGGGAGAGGATATATATAATATTATATATATATATATATATATATATATATATAGATAGAGAGAGGAGAGAGAGAGAGAGAGAGAGAGAGAGAGAGAGAGAGAGAGAGAGAGGGAGAGAGAGAAGAGAGAGAAAAGAGAGAGAAAGAGAGAAAGAAAGAGAGAGAGAGAAAGAAAGAGAGAGAAAAAGAGAAGAAAGAAAGAAAGAGAAAGGGAGAGGACGAGAGAGAGAGAGAGAGAGAGGAGAGAAAGGAGAGAGAGAGAGAGAGAGAGAGAATAGAGAAGAAAGAGAGAAGAGAGGAGAAAGAGAGAGAGAGAAAGAAAGAAAGAAAGAAGAAAGAAGAGAGAAGAGAGAGAGAGAGAGAGAGAGAGAGAGAGAGAGAGAGAGAGAAGAGAGAAGAGAGAGAGGAGGAGGAGGAGGAGGAGGAGGAGGAGGAGGAGGAGAGAGGAGAGAAGAGAAGAAGAAGAAGAAGAAGAAGAAGAAGAAGGAAGAGAAGAAGAAGAAGAAGAAGAAGAAGAAGAGAAGAAGGAAGAAGAAGAAGAAGAAGAAGAAGAGGAGGGAGGGGAGAAGGGAGAGGGTGGATGTGGTTGTGAGAGACCTGCAGATTTTGCCTTCGTCCACACAAAGCGTATACATGTAAGCGCGATCTATATCCGCATTGTTAAGGCTCTCCATTAGCCGTTAATAACAGAATGGGAGAAAGTCAGATGTAAGAAAAAGAAAGAAAGAAAAAAAGAGTAAAGTTCACTCGTTATGTTCACATTTACAACGGGGGGGGGGGGGATGCGTGGGGCGACGTTAACAACTTTTTATGTGTTTTGCGTATTTAGGGATTTAAGGATATGTATATGTATATATGTATTATATATTTTATTTATTTATTTATGTAATATTCATTTATTTATTTGTTTATATATATATAATTTTTTTTCATTTATTTATTTATGTATTATTCGTTTATATTATTTGTTTATTTATTATTTGTATTATTTTATTTATTTATGTATTATTTATTTATTTATTTATTTATTTATGTATATATTATTTATTTATTTATTTATTTATTTATTTTATTTATTATTATTCATTTATTTGTTATTTACCATTTTTATTATTTTTACTTTATTCTTTGCTCTACCGGAATTATTTGCGTCGAAGAGTTCGGCTCCGCTTCTCTCGCTTGGAATTTGATGCGAGTCGCGGCCTAATGAAAAGCTAAAAACAGAAAGGAAAAAATACCCCCCCACCCCCACCCCCACTTCAAAAAAGAAAAAGAGAGAGAGAAAAAAGTCCCAGCCCTCGTAATTGAAATGAGTTCTCATGCTAAATGGCTTACTTGTGTGATGGCCTGTACTGGCTTGCTATTTTTAAACTTCCGCGTAATAGAGAGAGAGACTGCCGGAGCTATTTATAAACACATACACACAACACACGCGCTATTGTGGGTAGGTATAATGCAACGCTCGGCGGAGATGGGGAAATGGGTGATGAATGGCGGGGGAGGCAGGATAACGAGGAAAGGAAAGGAGCGGGGAAAGGGGAGCGGGGGGGAGGGGAGAGGGAGAGGGATAAGGGTAGGGAGGCAAGGAAAAGAGGGGAGGGAAGGGGAGAGGGAGAGGAGAGGGATAGGGATAGGGAGGGAAGTTAAAAGAGGGAGAAAGGGAGGCAAAAGAAGGGGAGAGGGAGAGGGACGTAGAAAGAGAAAGAGAGGCAAGGGAAGGGAAGAGGAAGGGAAAGGGTAATGAAGAGGAGGAAGGAGGAGAATATGAAAAACGGAAAAGGAAAGTGAAGGGCAGGAAAAGGGATGAGAGGAGAGGGGACTGGAGAGAAGAGAAGAAAAGAGGAGGAGAGGAGGGGAGAAGAGAGAGGGGAAAGAAAGAAAAGAGGGATAGGTTAATGCGAAGGGATGGGGCAAATAGGGAAGGGAGGAAGGGAAGACTCAGGGGAAAGCAAGGCAATGCACGAAGAAAAGGTAAGGGTCTCGAAGACGCACACACGCATCCCCACCCCCACTCCCCCAACACACACACTCCCCCAACCACACACTCCCCCCCCACCAACCACGCCCCTCCCCCAACCACACACACTAGCGTTTTTAGTTGTGGTTGTATTGATAGAACTGCAAGAGGGGTTTTTACGTGCGTAGTATATCGTTGGAGGCGACGCAGCAGAGGTTCTCCGGTGTGTTCGTGTGTGTTGTGGGGGTTGGGGGTGTGGTGGGGTTGTGGGTGTGGGGTGGAGGAAGGGAACGTGTGCTGGGGATATATTTGGTTTATTGTTATTATTCTATTTTTGCATCCTCCTCCATCTCCTCCTGCTGATGCTGCTGCTCATCACTCGATCATCTTTGTCACCTTTGTCGTAATGACTAGTATTATTGCCCTCATCATAAATATAATTGATATTAGTAGTATCATTAAACATCAGTATCATGACGGCATCGCCATTGTCCCCCCCACCACCACCACACCACCAACAACAACAGCAACACAGCAAAAACACCACCGCCAACAATAACAACTACCACCAACAACAGCAACAATCAACATCACCACCATCATCATCATCGTCATCGTCATCATCATCGTCATCATCGTCATCATCATTATCAATCATGTCATCATCAATAATAATCATCATCATCAATCATCAATAATAATAATCATCAATCATCATCATCATCATCATCATCATCATCATCATCATCATCATCAATCATCATCATCATCATCATCATCATCATCATCATCATCATCAACAAACAACAACAACAACAACAACAACAACAACAACAACAACAACAAACATAACAAACTACCACCATCATCATCAGTAACAACAACAACAACCATCACGTAACAAACAACCAACAAGCACCACCCACTCCCACCGCCCCCCCCCCCCCCTCTTTCATTGCAACTCCTCCAATCGCAAAC